GCGGGAGTACTTTTGCAAGATGGCCATCCAATCAGTTATACTTCAAATACTGAACGAAATTATTCCACAATCCACCGAGAAGCACTGGCGATAATTTGGGCTGTTAGAAAATTTCGACCCTATGTGTTCGGGAAGATTTTTCGCTTGAGAACTGATCATAAGCCACTGACATACATTTTGACATCAAAATCTGAGAAATTCGCCAGATGGAGTTTAGAACTTTCTGAATACTCATTTGACATTGATCATATTCCAGGGAATGAAAACATTCTAAGTGATGTTTTGAGTCATATGCCTGTTGAAGATGACTTGCCTGTATTTGCTGTGACTAGAGGTCAAGATAAACGACATGCTATTATTCGTAAAGCTCATGAATTGGGTCACTTTGGTGTAAAAAGAACATGGCAATTAGCACAGAAAGGTGATTCTTCAATTACTCAATGTGAGGTAGCTGAAATAGTGGAGAAATGTACTGTGTGTATAGAGGGTCCACATGCTATACCTAGATCTCCTTTAGGTGTTACGGTTACTGCTTCGCGTCCTTGGGAGGTTCTTCATTGCAATTTTGTTGGCCCACTTCCACGTTCATCTTGTGGTTATGTGTATGTGTTTACATGTTTAGATGATCTGAGTAGGATGTTTTTCGCCTTTCCAGTTCGTACGGCGACGTCATCTAGTGCTGCAAAAGTGTTGGAACGTCTGTTTTCCATATTTGGTCCGCCCAGTGTTTTACATATGGATAATGGTACTGTCTTTACATCAAAAGAGTTTAGTATGTTTACTTCCAATTGGGGAATTAGATGTAGTTATACTCCAGTTGCTAGACCACAAGCTAATCCAGTCGAAAGAGCTCACAGAACATTAAAAACTTCGTTAGTGAAAACAGCAGAGTGTGAGAAAACATGGGACAGAGTTTTGCCAGAAATTGTATTAGCACATAATTCGCTGTTAAATCGCACCACTGGTTTTGCTCCGTATTTTGTTATGTTTGGTCGTAACAGTTTGATTCACCAGTTAGTGTCAGACGATTTTTCTTCTTTTGGGGAGGATATGGATGGCTGTGTAGAGTTATGGGATAAGTGTGTCGAATCTCATGAATCAGCTAAATTACATCGTGAAGAACAGACATCTGAAAGAGTTTCAAGGATGTTTAATGTTGGTGATCGTGTTGCTGTGAAAATATTAGGAGGACATAAGTTCAAGAAACAACATTTCAAGTCTGCATTTGTGATATCCAAGTGTAATGGTGAGTTCCTGCAAGTCAAGTCATCAGATCGTTCATCGAGAGAAACAGTCGCCGTAAGTGTTGATCAAGTCGTGCCAGACCTTTCTTGAGAGGGGAGGGATGTGAGGTTGTTCCCGGTACTGGACATCTTCGCCCGAACGCAACAGTCCCCAACAGTAGTGTTTGGCTGCACGTGGAATCATAGACTATGACGCGTGATCCGATTTCGATTGTAACCAGTCTCGTTATTGTCCTTGTCAAGTAAACATCTTGTGTTTGTACCTCTGTGTTGTATGTTATATGGGCCAGAAGACCTTACACTACCAACTGAAACAACTGTTTAACAGGTATTTCTATGCACTTGACATTGACAAGGCAATCACTGATGCTACTGCTTCCTGTCACCATTGTGCATCTTTGAAATCCATACCATCACAATTGTATCCACAGTCAACAACTTGTTCCCCGGACACTGTTGGCACTCACTTTGCAGCTGATCTCATTAAACGTTATGGACAGTTAGTGTTTGTGTTGAGGGAAGTTGTTTCATCCTTCACCCAAACCTGTTTTGTACAGAACGAATGACATGACCAGTTACGCAACGTCATTCTTATGCTTACTGCTGATTTTAAGCATTTTGGCCCAGATGGTTGCACAATCAGAGTGGATCCTGCCCCTGGATTCATTTCACTGGCCAAGGACCAGATATTGTCACAGCATGGCATTCACCTAGACTTGGGCTCCCCTAAAAACATAAACAAGAACCCTGTCGCTGAACGAGCTATTGAAGAACTGGGTGTCGAATATCTCCACTTGAGCCCAGAAGGTGGTCCTCTTTCTCCAGTTACTCTAAGCTTGGCTACAGCCAACCTGAGTACAAGGATTAGAAAGGGTGGGCTGTTGTCTCGAGAGGTGATCACTCAACGAGACCAGATAACTGGGGTTCAGCTCCCGTTATTTCAGCAGCTTTCCAGACAACTTAATCATCCTTCAAGCAGTAAGTCTAAGGCACATGGGCATCTCCGTTCAGACCCTGCCAATGTTACTATTGGAGATCTAGTATATGTCTAGTCGGACACAGACAAGACACATGCTGGAGACAGATACATGGTCACTGGACTTTCGGACCATGGCTTTCAGATCAGAAAGTTTACTCAAAATCAGTTTAGATCCAAGGTTTATGATGTTCGTCCCACTGATTGTTACCCTGTGAGACCCACAGTTCTTGCGTCTCAACCCAGAGACCAAATTAGAGTTCTTATGGAGAAAGATAATGTTGTTGAAGAGTTAAGACCACAATCATCAACTGCCGATGAACCTCCTTCAAACGGTGACAGTGATGCTTATGACATGACCATGAACACTGATGGATCTTTACCTGGGACCATCAGTTATCCCGAGGATGAAGAGAATACAGACCTTGGTTGTTCTGTTCCTCTGGACAGCCAACGTAGATCCCTGAGACAGCAGTCAGCACCATCGTGGCAACGATCTGGCGACTGGATAATGACATTATGACTCTAACATGCCATATACAAAATGACCCTTTATCAGTGTTATAAATGCACGATGTTGCATACATTTCATTTGGACTTTAATTGATGTTTTGTGTATTGTTTCAAACATTCTGAACTTCATTGTGAAGTTGGAGAGGGAGAAGAGTGGTTACGCCACTACACGCGTCCGCGTTCGCTTTTGTTTATTCCAACTTTTGGTTGAACCGACACTTCCGGTTCTTCTGTGGATGTTATGGTTGCAGAATAACTGCATTGAGTTGAGACTGCAGTGTTGACTAATCCTTGGCGATGTAAAAACTGGTGTGCATCCGGTAGCGGATTTACGATAAAATGTGCTCATCGGTTTTTACGTTTATAACTCCATAAGCTCAAAAATATATTGAAGTTACTTCGAATAAATAAATAGGCCAACAAAACAATAATAACTTCACATATTGCTTATTCATTCATTAAAACACAAACAAACTCGAGACAATGAACAACAATACAAGAAATCAGTGACATCGCTCAGCGCACTAACACAACACAAGCCCCTCCCGTTCTATTATCACCCAATCAGTGAACAATGGACATTAGTAGGCTTGGTCTAATTTATTTTTTCGGTTTAATGAAACATAAACACAAATGTTTTTGCTTGGTTAACCAATCAAATACCACGGAATCACTTGTTATTTATTGATGTGAAAAGCAATACTATTATCAACGAGGTTTTTTATTAGTTTTCATGAGACATGGCAGAAGTGACAGACTAATTTACTTAACCAGTTTCACGAATGTGATTTTCAAGGGTACAGTTATTCCGTTACGTTAGGGATGAGTATTCTTTAGAGAGAAGTAACTAAACTTTTAAAAGGAAACTTTATTTTTGTCTCACATATATTCTTCAAAAAAAAGGAAACGCAATGCCAGATTTATGTGAGGTAGGAAAATACATTTATACGAGGAACTGTACAAGGTATTGAGCCAAAATGTTGTGGAGGGGACACTTAGTGATTGTAGTCATCTCAGTTATGGGGAAATAGGAAAAGTCTAAGGTGAAGGTCAGCTACCATCAATAACGCGTAGAGATGAGTATGTGAATCATATCCTGGGGCATGGTAGCCCACTCGTCCTGCAACACAAAAGCCTGCAACGCAAAACTGCTGCAAAGTCTGGGGTTGTGATTGACGTCGGCATAGCCGTCTGTCCAATTCATCCCACAGCTGCTCTATCGGGTTCAAATCCACGGATCTGGAGGTCCAGGGGAGAGCATCAACGTTGTTGTTGTGTAGACAGGCTTTTGTGATCCATGCTGTATGCAGTCGAGCGTTGTCCATCTGGAATACACCGTTGCCGTTGGCTGCAATGGAAGGACTTGTGGTAGGAGAATTTTGTTGATGTATCGTTGCGCCGTAAGACTGCCCTTAATATGGACCAAACCTGTCCTTCCATGATGAGACATAGCTGCCCATGTCATAACGCTACCCCCAGTTGAACGCAGTTCGGCGCAAAACGCTTATGTCGAAGTCGGTATACACGTTTTCTTCCATCCCATCGTTGAACCAAACCAGTCGCCATTTCCTGAGATCCCATGCCTGTACTCTGTTGCACCACCGGACCGTCATTGACGGTGTAGACGTCACAAGCCAGGTCAAACTTTTGTTTGTCTCGCTCGAATTCCCACTTTCCTCAGACGATTTCTGATGGTTTGGTCAGAAATTCTTCGCATACAAGGCACCTGTCCTGCCGTGTCCGTTGCTGTAGCAAATCGATTCTGAAGGTGATGCAACCGGATGTACCAATCCTGAGCAGGGGTGGTCACTCTTGGTCTTCCACTTCTGGGATGACCTTGAGTCGAATTAGTGCGGGTATATCGATCCAATAGTCAGGATGTGGTGCTTTGGTGAACGTTGAAGTGTCTTGCAATGGCAGACTGGGACTCCGCTGCTTCCAAACGTCCAATGGCGATATTTTGGTCAGCTGCAGTTAATCTTTCTCCGTTCACGTCAGAAAATTTGTAATGAACTGATGAATTTTGTACGGTCTTTTATAGTCAGTGTCTCTACTCTTGTTTCCAACACTTTGCACGTGCATTGTGCTGAAAACTATTCCTGAAAGCAATTTCCGTGCATCCTTTGCATTTTTGCTGATAAACGTTTACAAAAAACATTTTGAGATGTGGTTGCACGCAATGCACATGACATGATTAACGGATATCAAACATAAGAATTGTCTGTATGACAATCTAATTGGAATTCTCAAAACTTCTATGCGTTTTTTTTTGAAGAGTGTATTATCATAAGCGAGGTAACTCTCACAGAGAAGTATGGTTCGTGGTTAAAAATACCAAATGCACTCACAACATTGTGGGTTTCAGGTTTAACAAGATCTGCATGACCCCACAGATCTACTTCATTATAAAATAATATTACAACAATGTAGATATTACTTTGAAAAGATGAATTACGAAAAACTATTTATAACTTTAACACTGTAGATATATCAATGTCAACAGTATCATGTATACCTCTATGATTGTGTCACCTAAATACCACCCCATGTTCCTTGAAAACAAATATTTCAGGAAATCATTGTTGTGAAAACACATCACTAGTTTTTCTTTCATAATATATTTGTTTTCTACTTTTCTATTGGATAAATGTTGAAACTTAATTTTGCCATATTCTTATTCCTTATTCTGAAGGTACCACATGCAAATTATATTTTTTTTATCTTCTATCTGACACCAATAGGTAGTAAAGGTTGTTTTGTACAACGGCACCCAGGGCAGTTGGCGACTCAGACGGAGCCTCTTGGTCAAAGTTCATGTCCTCATCACCAAGGTCAAGGATATCCTTGTCTGGAACATTGGTAGCCCTGGGAGAATTTATAAATTTGATTTTGTTAATTATGAATGTTTACATTTCGATATAATTGGCATAGGTGTAAATCAGAGATATCCATTTCCTATGTTATTACAACAATAACATGTCATATAAGTCTCGTTAGTACTAATGGTTGATCCAACATCTACCATTAGGAAAATAAGACATTATGTCTCATGCGTTCTAAATGGTCATTCTCTGGAATATCTACTGGAAAGCGTCCAACACACCCAAATTTTAAATCCAGATAGCATCAAGGATAAATAAATCAATAAGAACCAATTAACAGAACATACCACATCTCATCCATGTTTACACCTTGACATAGGCTATTGTAACTGCCTTTGAATTGTTTTATATGGTTTGGTTTTGCTTTTGTTTTCTAAACTAATTCTCATCTCTGAATGTTTCAGCATGGCTGACTGGGAGGTATTCACTCAATCTTTATACTCAGGAGTCCCCCATGTTGGTGGGTCATTACCCTCATACGGTAACAACCGGTCAACATGAACAACCCTGGAGGAACTATTTGGACCATTTTGAATACGATATGTGATGTCATCAATTTGCTTAGTGACAACCCAACCTTGACACCACTCCGAAATGAATTTGTAGCCTTTGTGGGGGTTAAACAACCATACTGGCTGTCCGACCTTTAGTCGTGATTCCTTGCTCCCCAGGTCATATCATTTTTTATGCACTTCAGAAGAATGTCTGAGATTTCTCCGAGCAGACTCAAAAGCATGTTCAAAATGTTGTTTGACCTCGCTGACATAGTCATCTCTTGTCAAAGGATTCTCGTTAGGATTTCCTGTGACCAGGTGGTAAGGCATTCCCACTTGCCTACCGAGCACCAACCGGTTTGGTGTATAACCTGTCGGCTCATGCTTTGAGCTTCGATTAGCAGCCATTACAAAAGAGAGATGTTTGTCCCAGGACCTTGGTCTCCCTTCAGTATAAATGCTAAGCATGACTGCTAATGTTCGGTTAAACCCCTCGACCTGGCCATTTGCCTGTTCTACCCGAACTATCACCACATGCATTAGTGTCTGTCTCGCCAGATGGTACAATTATTGCACCTGGCATCTTTGTCTCATAAGTCTGTCCTGACACCATACCACTCTTGGTCGAAAGTTTGTCACCTTCAACAATGTCTGTAGCGATTCTACCTCGAAGTTGATCAAAATGGCTACGACAACTCCTGTCGCCAACATCAACTTCATAATGTCTCTCTCCATATTTTGTCAAAACTTGCCCGGGTACCCATTTGTCATGTGCACGATAATCATGCCCCCATACCTCCTGGTTTACTTGCAGTTGTCTAGTCTCAGCTGGATCACTCATTTGACCTGCCAACTTAGATGACATAGCAGACTGAATGTCTTGTTTCAGCAAGTCTAACTTTGTCCTTAATTCTCGACCCAGAAACAACTTTGCTTGAGTTTCACGGGTAGTGCAATGAGGAGTCGACCTGTAAGCCAGCAGAAACTGATCAACCTTTGTCAATACAGATCCACCGTCTTCCTTAGCTGCCTTCATGGCCTGTTTGAATGACTGGACTGCCCTCTCAGCTTGTCCATTAGTAGCCGGATGATATGGAGCTGACAAAATATGTTTGACACCATTGCATTTCAAAAATGCTTCGAACTCTTCTGACACAAATTGCGGTCCATTATCTGTAACCACTTGATGTGGCAAACCGAACTGTGCACACAGCTTTCGTACTTCCTTCACTGTAGCACTAGATGTTGTAGAATTCATTTACTACAATTTCTGGCCATTTTGAGAATGCATCTACAATTAACAGAAACATGTGACCCATAAATGGCCCTGCAAAGTCAAGATGAATGCGGGTCCATGGACATGACGGCGGAGCCCATGGGTGTACAGGGGCTAACTGTGGATTGTTGTGGGTGTTCTGGTATGTTGAACATGTCTTGGCAATTCCCTCTATTTCACCATCTATCCCAGGCCACCAAATGTAACTTCTTGCTACAGATTTCATTTTCACAACTCCAAAATGTCCTGTGTGTAATTCTTGCAACACAGTCTGTCTCAGTTTAGAGGGAATTACTACTCTCATTCCCCACATCACACAGCCCATATGTACAGTGAGTTCAAACCTTCGACTGTGATATGCTTTCATCATGAAATCTTCCCCATGCTCTCATGTCCATCCATTCATCACCGCTGTGTACACTTGAGACAGTAGAGGATCACGTCTTGTTTTGTTTCTAACATCAGCAGTAGTAACTGGTAGTTGCTCAAACTGTCAGTTGTAAAACATCTCCACGTCATCTAGTGATTCTTTCTGCACCCTGGTAACATTGACAAGTGGAAGTCTGGATAACACATCAGCATTTGCATGCTTCTCTGATGCCTTATACTCAATCTCATAATCATATGCACTAAGGAAGAGTGCCCATCTCAGCATCCGAGCAGCCGCAATTGTAGGCACCGGTCTTCCAGCTCCAAACAAAACAGTCAGTGGGCGATGATCTGTGATTAATGTGAAATGTCTGCCATAAATGTACTGGTGAAACCGTTTTACACCAAAAATAATCCCCAAAGCTTCTTTGTCTATTTGAGAATATCCACTCTCAGCTTTCTTCAGTGTGCGGGAAGCAAATGCAATGGGCCTTTCCAAACCATCCCTTGTAACATGTGATAGTACTGCCCCAACACCATATGACGAAGCATCACATGCAAGGCGTATGGGTAGTGAAGGATCGTAATGACATACCACATCCGAGCTGGCAATCATGCACTTGCATTTCTTGAAAGCTTCTTGACAATGGGAAGACCATGCCCACTTCTTATCTTTCCTCAGTAAGTCATTTAGTGGATGTAGTACCGTAGATAAATGCTCCAAAAAACGCCCATAATAGTTCACATCACCCAAAAATGAACGTAGTTGCGATATATTCTCTGGTGCTGGAGCATCAGTTAAGGCCTGTACTTTATCCTTAGCCGTTTGAAGTCCTTCACTATCGATCACATGACCAAGATACTTGACTGAATCGACAAAAAACTTGCACTTTCCCCTCTTCACTCTCAAACCATATTCATGCAACCTTTTCAACACTGCCTCTAGATTTCTGAAATGTTCTTTATCACTTGATCCGGTCACTAAAATGTCACCTTGATGACACACTACTTTGTCCAAGCCTTGCAATATCTGGTCCATTGTGGTCTGAAATATGGCTGGTGCAGAGGCGATGCCAAAAGCAAGACAGGTATACCTGTAAAGTCCCTTTGGTGTGTTAATTGTCAAATATTTCTGACAATCTAAATCAACTTCCATCTGTTGATATGCATGTGCTAAGTCTATTTTGGAAAATGTTCTTCCACCAGCCAGAGTAGCAAAAAATCTTCCATTTGTGCAATGGGTACTTGTTAACATTCAACACTGGGTTCGGGTGTAGACTTGAAGTCCCCACAAATTCTCACTGATAGATCCCCTTTGATAACAGGTACAATCGGAGTTGCCCACTCACTGTGATCCACTTTAAACAATACCCCATTCTTCTCCATTCCTGTAATCTCTTCCTTCACCCTGTCCTGTAAAGCATAAGGTACAGGCCTTGCTTTCATGTCTTTGACAGACAGGTGAGCTTTAATACCTTTTATTCTAACAATTTCTTCTGAGAAAACATCTCAGTACTTCACAAGTATCTCTTCCAACTTTTCCTGACTTGAATATTCGCTACACATGTGAATGTCATCACCTAGCTTTTTCAATCAATGTCCACATATGGTAGCCATGCTCTACCTAGCAGAGGGGGCACTTCCCCTTTTACAACATGCAAATCCAACTTGTTCACGTCATTTCCATTTGCAACATCAACTTTCAGTATGCCAAAGTTTGTAACACGCTCACCTGTGTAAGTTCTCATAGGTACTGTGGCCTCGACCTAGTGACATCCGTTAAAACGATCCTTGTACACTTCTTCAGTAATGATGGAATTTCGCGAACCAGTATCCAGTTCCATTTTTAGGTCAGTACCGTTTATGTTGACTGTGACCCACATAACCCCAGAACTTCCGGGCATGGCAAACATCTGATTCAAACACTCTGATAGATCATCGACAATGAAATCATTATCATTGTCAGTTATGTCAATGGCATTTACGCGAGAATTTGGTTTCTTACTGCCATTGTTTACATTTACATTTCCAGTTGACCTTGAACTTGATCCTGGGTCACGACCCGAAATCTTCATCCGACAAACTGCCTGCAGATGGCCTCATTTGCCACAGAACGAACACACTGTATCCTTAAATCTGCAATTGTTCGCAAGGTGAAATGAGTTACCGCAACGATAACAGAACTTAGTATTTCCAGTCCTAGGTTTGCTGTTGAACGAAAACACTTCGGTGGATCCGTGTCTCTTGTCGCCGCCTCGGCTAAGCTCATCACAGACCTTGGCCGCTTATTCCATCGAATTTGCAATTGCCAATGCCTGGTCAACAGTCAGGTCATTTTTTTGCTAACAATTTCCTTTGAATCGGAATAGTTCTCAAACCAAGCACAAGTTGGTCCCGCAGCCTGTCATTTAATGTAACGCCAAACTCACAGTTTCGCGAAAGTCCCTTCAATGCAACCAAATATTGCGCAACATTTTCACTTTCACTTTGCATCCGTTTGTGAAATCTGTATCTTTCTGCAATGAATAGTGGTCTGGGCATGTAGTGATTCTGTAGACGTGTCACTAAGTAATCCAATCTGTGGTCTTGCGGTCTCGCAGGCAAAAGTAAAGCTTTTAGCACTCCATATGTTCTGCTGCGAGCATGGAAAGAAATCCGGGCACTCGTCGTTCGTTCAGAATTTCATTTGCGTCAAAAGAACAGAAATATTCTTTCTGCATACGACGACCAATCTTCCTTATTTTCGTCAAATTGTCCAACTTCACCGATGACGCCCGCCATTGTGATGATCATGAGCAGTCCCACTATCATTTGCCAAAAAAACCGCACTGCTGAATAAAAATGTGTATCAGCAAAGGCCAATTGTAAAATTCATCCTTGCACGTAATATTTCCGTAGTTTGAAGTTTTTATCCTCGTCGCCACTGTAATATATTTGTAAAACTGCACATCATGCTCAGGTACTTGTACGACCCGCACCTAGGCTGGGAGGAACATCAAGCAACAAGACGTCTGAACTGAACAATGATTTATTCCTAACTAACTGCAGGTACATAGTCATGACGTCACTCCCAATGCTGGGGCATGTGACTTATGACGTGGTAGTGCGTGCACATTGGCACTCACCATATGTAAACAAACATAACACAACAACACTGACACTGACCAATAATTCTTCCCTTAGCTAAAGTGTATTTGGTATCAAGAACATTGATAACCTTAACTGTAGCTGCCTAATTACAATTGGTGACTACTGAATTGCCAATGATTATACCATGTGTGAATAAAATCTCCCTGCAGGGTTCTATCAGGATCGAAGACCGTTCCCAATAACGTTTAGGCAAGCTCACTTGGATAAAAGATACAGAAAGGGGCGGCAAAGAGAGATCATCTGCAACGATGACAGTGGTTTCAGCCCAACAGTTGGTAACCACCTGCCCATCAACCAGATCCTGACCCAGGGATGTTGATCAGACCCTCCAGTCCATCCAGTACATCTATACCCAGAATGCCGTAAGTCGGCAATTTTCTCACTGGACTTACGGCTTCGCCTCATCAGCTCTTCATGTTTAACATCTGGAATACTGTTCCATACCGCCTGTGCAGAGTGTCTGAAAGTCACTGGTAATCCAGTCACTCCTGCTCAGGAAGGCCTGCATAAAACTGCTGGGCTACACCCTCCATAGCACATCCCAACATTTGGGCTGCCTGGGTATTATCCCAGCATGACTGTGCAGCCAGATTCTTAAACTGTGCTTCGAAAGCACGATAATCTCCTTGGCCATTAAATTTAGGTAATTCGAGAGATATTCTTTCAATTGAATGATCTCCCCTTGGGGGGTATCTGTCCAGAGTGTGCAAGACCCAGCACACTACTGGACAATTGTGACACTAGACCAATTAGATTTTTGTCTGAACTCACCATTGGTGGTGGAGCAAGTACTGGGTACGCGGTCTGACCAGTGTATGGGTAATTATAACTAGTCTGTGAAAACTGATTCTCAGGGTACACACTAGGAACATTTGGCAAACAATCTTCACTGTGTGACCTGGATGACAAGTATTCACTGACCCTAGGGTCAGAATATTCTGGTTGTCTCGTTACCTGCAGATCATCTTGAACTCTACCTACAGAAATAACAGCAGGTGAATTTTCTGGACTCACAGCATTGAGTTGCTCAGACAGTTCATGTCTGGATGGTTGAGCAAAGTCAACATCTGGAAACCGAGTGCTAGTTTTTTCACCAGAACTTAGCTCCGAAATATTGGACACATGGCTAGAGTGTAAATTTCCAGCCCGACCATTAACATGATCCACTCTCCTTGACAGGGACTTGATAGATAATTATTTTCCATTTAATTTTTCCATATAATTTTTTGTCACAAAACATTTATCTTATGGAATCTTATCAATTTGGAATATTTGTGAAATATTATTCTTACTTTATTTATATATGAGATCAACAACGGATCCCATTGCTGCCACCATAAAACTGTAATGGTTCAGGGGGTGGTTATTGGGGTAGAGCTTTGGGTAGCAAATGGTGGATCACTCCCAATACCACCAACCACACAGTTTTAATTATTTAACTTATTGTGGTTGACTGGGGGTTATTATGGGTATGGTATATATAAATATATAAATTTAAGAACGTAGTGGGAGGGTTAGTTTAAGAGGGAGTTGAACGGCTGACGTAGTACCTATCTTTGTAGTCCTTGTGTAGAAGCTTATGCCCACACGGGCGTAATGGCTAGGAAGACGTTACGATGCCACGTTTCTTGCAACCTCGGCTCGGCCATGATTGGGAGAGCCGAGATGTAAGGAGCGTGTTCTCCTGGTCACATGGTCCTCGTGTTGGCTTTATAAGCCTACCCTGTGTAGGGAATCGTCAGTCGTCACTAACCAGTATCTGGTAAGGAACGGTCGACTCCCGCATCCTGAACCAGGATCATTTATTATTTATTATAGGGCTTTCGTTGAGATGTTAGATTAACAGGTATGGGTAGGGGAAAAGTAGAGTATGTAATGAATAGGTTTGTTTTATAGACGTTTTACTTTTGGGAGTTAAGTTAGAGGGGTAGTTAAGAGTACAAGTTTAAGTCATAATGTTGAATAGGTTTTCGTAGGTAGGGAAGGGGGAAAATTACGTAGGTAATAGATAAGAGAAGGATTTTGCCCCTGTTGTTTTTTTTCCTGTTAAATAAACTTTAAATTCAACGTCATTCTTTGTGTTTTGTTTATAATTAGAACTGGTAAGCCGATCAGGAGCCTCCTAGAACGTATAGACAAAAGAATACTGCACAGGGAGAAAAGAACACAATGCAAAACACAGCAGTACCTTTTGTCAACTATCTCTATAAGTCTACTGTCACTGGGCACCTTTTACAGGCTTTAGAGGGCGCCCATTACAGATTTGGTGCCGAGACCAGGATTGGGTTATATTTTTCAATTTCTAGTTATAGTCAGCTTCTGAAAACTAAATTAAAATTCAAGTGAAAATATGACTGAAGGTTCAGGTTAAAATTGGTCAGTTTTGTCTGAGACTGATGATGATCATTTTCTTGGTAGTGCCGGTGTTAATCCACAGGAACCACTTATCGATATGACAAGTGAGTTACCACCACCTCGGCAAAATATGTATCCTACATCTACACTGTACACACCTCTACCTGTTGTAGGAGATGCTGTCGGTTTAAGAAGTGGACAGGCTGGCAGGGATACATATTTGGGGTCAGGCTATAATGCACCTGCACATCGGAACGCTGATTATCGGTGGTTGGGTCACTCTTTACCAGACGTTCATTTCAGTACACCAGAAATACCACAGGATAGGTCAAGGGTTGATTTTCAGAGTCCCAGAGGATTTGATAGTGTAAGGCCATTAAATACAGCAGGCACTGTTTTGTCAGAATTTGAGAAGACTAGGGTTTCTCATCGGGAAGTTAGACCTGACAAATTTGACGGGACGTCATGTGATTGTCAAGATTATATTGTTCATTTTGAACAAGTTGCTTCATGGAATGGGTGGACCGAGTATGAAAAGGCTCAACAACTTAGTATGTTTTTGAGAGGCGCAGCACAAAAACTTCTGAGTAATCTTACGTTAGGACAACTCAATAGTTATCAGGCAGTCAAAAGTGCATTGAGTAAGAGTTTCTACCCAGTAGAACATAATGTAGCCTATAGAAGTGAATTTCGAAATCGTCGACAAGGTCATGATGAAACCGTTTCGGATTATGGGTATCAGCTCCGTAGATTAGCAAATTCAGCTTATCCTACCAGCACTTATTCATCACTTGAGGTACATTTAATTGATCAGTTCTTAACTGGCCTGCATAGCTTTGACATGAGGAAACATGTCACCTTTGCACATCCCCAAACACTTGAAAATGCTATTTCATACGCCATTGAGTTTGAAGCTGTCGATGGTAGCAGGAGAAAGAAACCTGAAACTTTAGACAGGGGAGCAGGAATTAATCAAACAGTTCAACCAGTTGGTAGTACTGGGATGGCACTTGAGACAGTTGCTAAGATGATAGATGATCGTCTGGAAAGTTTCAAATGTAGCTTACGTAGTGTTACGCCCAATACCTGCTATGTCTGCAATCAACCAGGTCATTTTCGTGACAGGTGTCCTAACTTATCAACGCTTGGTTTACGGGATCAGTCTGTTACTAATAAACCTGAATCGGGAAACTACATGAGGCTGAGATCGAGGCTGGGATTTCAGCCAATGTTGGGCAGATGGGTAGGCCATGCGAAGATGTAGTTCCAGTGAAGTTATCTTCACCTGATGTGAAAGACAAACCCATTTTAACTGTTGATGTTGGAGTGCAAGTAGATTTACTAAAGTTGGTAGGGAATAGTGTAGATCCCTTGGTGAAGCAATCTTCACTCCATGGTGTTGGGTTGGGAGAGAGGTTATCTTTGTCAGCATCAGGTGTAGGGAAACCGATGAAGTCATCTTCGTCAACACGGACTGGTATGTCTAGTCCACGGGAGAAAATTGTTTTGCATTCTTTGAAGCCTCAGAAATATTTGTATATAGAACGTTCTGATAAAAGGGGTTACCTCAAGGCTGTTGTTCCAGTCTCGATTATCTCACAAGATGATGTCCTTAAACTGGGTTTACAGGATGATAAACTGAAGGAAGTTCATAAAGATTTCTTTACGGCCAATGGTACACCTATAGTTGTTCCAGGTTCTGCTTGTTTTGAGTTTTGTTTTGGAAACGTGCAGTTTCAACAAGAGTTTGTGGTTGCAGATTAGGGTACTATTGGTAGTATTCTTGGCATGGATTTCCTGGAGGATTATGATGGTGAGGTATATTTGAGACGAAAGACACTGTCTACATCTAGAGGTAGGCTCAAGTTGTACAAATTGAACACAAGCAATTGTGCACGGGTCAGAATTATTGATAAGGTTATTGTTCCTGAGAATTCTGAGAAATTAATCAAATGTATTGTTGACGGTTCATTTGGTGCTGATTTGGGTTTGGTTGAGCCAAAAATTATAGGAGATACAAGGGAATTTTTGTGGCTATGAGTCTTGTCCAACCTGACAAGGATGTAGTAGTCATTTCAGTGCTGAATATGAATAGCAAGAGGGTGACTGTAGATAGTTCATCAGTAATGGGTACAGTTTGCATGGTAGAACAGATGGTAGCATGTGAGGATGTTGTTACCGCTAAGGCTGAATGCCAGGGCTTACCAAGTCGCTTGCCGTCACTGGTTGATCACTGTTCCACTGATCTTTCAGAAAGCCGAAAACAGTCTGTTTCTGATTTAGTTGGAGAATTTCAGGATGTTTTCGTCGGTGAAGATGGTTTGTTAGGGCAGATGGATGAGATTACACATACCATCAAATTACCTGCTAGGAGGGTTCCTTTAACTAAGAAACAGTTAGTAGAGGAGGAAATTGACAAGATGTTGCAACAGAATATTATAGAGCCTAGTAGTAGTCCTTGGTCTGCTCCTGTTTTTCTAGTAACCAAGAAAGATGGATCCTGCAGGTTCTGTATTGATTTTAGGAAATTGAATGACGTCACTTTACAAGATGCCTATTGTCTGCCCCAAATAGATGAAACACTTGAAACGTAAGGTGGTTGTCATTGGTTTAGTACCCTTGACTTAGCTTGTGGATATTGGCAAGTCAAAATGAATCCGAAAGATAAGCATGAAACCGCTTTCGCAACTAATGTCGGACTCCATCAGTTCAATGTCATGCCGTTTGGTCTCACTAACGCTCCAGCTACTTTCAAGAGATTGATGGACAGGGTACTGGGAAAATTAAAGTGGAAAAAGTGTCTGTGTTACCTGGACGATGTCATCCTTTTGGGATCATATTTTCAGTCTGCTTTAACCAAGCTTAGGTTAGTTTTCATTCAGTTTCAGTTTCAGGCAAATTTGAAACTCAAACCTAAAAAGTGTATGCTCTTTCAACCTGAAGTTGCTTTTCTAGGACACATAGTCTCAGCCAATGGTCTTAGATGTAGTCCAGAAAAGGTAGAAGCTGTCAAAAATTGGCCTAGAACGGAAACCCGGTCAGATATTCGCAGTTTCTTAGGTCTTGTAGGTTACTATAGGCAGTTTGTAAATAACTTCTCGGATATCGCTTCTCTTATGGTGAAGCTCACTCGAAAGGGTATACCATTTCAATCGACTAAGGATTGTGAGAAGGCGTTTGATCAGTTGAAGCAGTGTCTCGTAACTGCTCCAGTACTTGCTTTTCCTCAAGACGAAGGACTTTATGTGCTTGATACGGATGCTAGTGGGTTCGGTATAGGTGCAGTATTGTCCAAGGTGCAGGAAGGAGATGAAAAAGTTCTTTCGTATGCAAGTCATACTCTGGGACCGTCACAACGCAACTATTGCACAACCAAACGTTTGCTTCTGGCAGTGGTAACATTCCTTAAGCACTTTAGACACTTTCTATATGGCAGAAAGTTTGTCCTTTGATTTGGCTGCAAAACTTCAAGGATCCAGAAGGAATATTAGCCAGGTTGCTTAGTGTTGTAGAAACCTATGATTTTGAGATCTAGTATAGGCCTGGTAGAAAGCATCAGAATGCAGATGCGATGTCACGTAGGTCACAGCAAAGGTGTACTTTTGAGAAGTGTCTTGATTGTGATTCTCCGGATTTGGCTTGTAGTCAGCATGATAGTCAGTTGGTCTCATCAATAGAGCCTATTGATGATCTGCAAGTTGCAGAAAGCCGTGTTCAGTCACCTGAACCTGTCAGTCCGGTAGAAGTAGAGGAGAGGAATGTTATTCCTACTGATTCGGAGGAAAATGGGAATTCTACAGATGACAGCTGGAGTAGGTTGTAGACTATTCAGTGACTCTGCAGCCCCTGGCAGTGTGGCTAACCGGTTACCAGTGTGGACTCGGGATGAGTTGCTCGATTGGCAACTAGCTGACATTGGCATAGGTCCACTATTGAAGTTGTTGTCAGTTGATTGTGAGCAACCTGAGAAATCAGAAATCATAGGTTGGAGTTCAGATGCACAGATGCTATGGGGACAATGGCAAGATCTTAGGCTGGAGAACAGACTGTTGTACCCCAAGGTAGAATCTGATATTTTTGGATCTCGTTTTACAGTTGGTAGTACCAACAGCTATATGTACATCAATTTTTGAATATTTGCATACTTCACGTACAGCTGGGCACTTCAGTTGAGATAAAACTATGACATCTATCAAAACCAGATTTTATTGGCCAGGAATGTCTAAAGACATTAAAAGATAGTTGAAATCTTGTGACTTGTGCGCACGCTGTAAACAAGGTCCAGGACGAGGCAGGTCTCCATTACAACAGTTTACTGTACGGGTTCCTATGGAATGTCTGGCCATAGATATTGTTGGTCCTTTACCTATAAGTAGAAATGGCAATGAGTACATTATGGTAGTTGGAGATTATTACCCCAAATGGAAGGAAGCCTTTGCATTGAGAGATCATACAGCATTAACTGTCGCCGACAAATTAGTGTCTGAGGTGATCTGTAGATTTGGATGTCCTGAGCTGATTCACACTGACCAGGTGAGAGAGTTCGAGTCCCATTTATTCAGAGAATTGTGCCATTTTGTTAGGGATTGATAAAACCAGAACTACCCCTTATAGACCTCAATCAGACAGGTTAGTTGAACACTTCAATAGGACCTTAAGGCAGATGCTGAGCATTTACTCTGATCAGGAACTCTCAGAATGGCACGACCATCTATCGTACTTACTCATGGCGTATAGAGCCTCCGAACACTGCTCACCCCACCTGCAACTGACTGTGACCGTTGCCCTATTCAATATGTGAAATGGTTGAGGGAGACCACGCAAGGCATATTTCAGTTTGCAAATGACCAGCAAGGTAGAGCCGCTCAATTACAGGAGAGAAACTATGACCACAAGTTGAAGGCAAGATCATATGAAGGAGGCTCCTTTGTTTGGCGATGGTATCTGCCTAAGGCCAATCAAAAGCTAGGGTTAGGATGGGATGGGCCCTATTTGGTAGTAGGCCATCTGTCCCCTACTACGTATCGAATTCAGAGGAGTCAGGAGAAGCCAGTTATCAGCGTCCATGTAGATCAATTAAAACCTTTTGAGGGTACTCCATGTCCCAGGAATTAGTTGAATCAACCAGAGGATGACCCCGCTGCTTCGGAGGTCCAAGACCTCACATTTGCGGATATGGAGGGATCCTATTCAGAGGGGGCAGTTAGAACACCAGTCGCTGTTAGAACTCGTGCGGGGCGGACGGTAAAACCACGGATAAGGTTTAGTCCCAGTTAGATGGGAGGGGGTTGGTATTCAGTAATTTGTAAATAGTTTCAACTGTTGTTTGATTGTGTTGCTTGTTTTTTTTTATTTGGGGGGGGGGGGGGGGTTCCTGATTGGCAAATTTTACCACTATATTTCGCACTGGGAATAAATGTGCTTATAAAGTTCTGCTTTCAGATGGAATTCCAAATAGGAGTCAGTCAGGCTGAAATGGCCGATTTTGCTGAAAAAGAGCGTCCCATCTGGCCTGATGAGGGCATGACTTGTGCCGTGCCGGGGTGCAACACGATACACTTTTATAAATACTGGCAGATGGTGGACCATTGGGTCTGTGCACATCGCCCCAAGCATAACCTCAGGGAGTGCTCCATCTGCCAGAGAGTGTTCCAACGGAAGCAAGAGGCAGAGCGGCACGCAAGGACTCATTCATTGCCAGGCATCATAGCCACCGTACAGAGACGGAACCGCCGATTCCACGATCCTCGACACTGCCTTCTTCCCCGGAGAGACCCTGTTTCAGGGACTAGAAGAACTGAAGGGGAACAGGCTGCCCAATCACGGTCTTCGCAGTCAAAACGACGCCTGAGGCGCGAGGCTCAGGAGGAAGAAGACCAAGAAACCTTGGCGAACTTCTCCAGTGATTGAGAAGTTCACATTGTCGCATTTTGACCATATTGTATGGGCCTGAATCCTTTTATATATTTTTAATATACTATACAGGTTTTTCTATATATTTACCCTTGTTGATCTATTAAGATTTGTTTTGTTCTTGTATTTTTGAAGGGGGCAAAAAGGGTAACTTTTTTACTTAAGGGGGGGGGGGGAGAATGTGGTCGACTGGGGGTTATTGTGGGTAAACATATATATATTTAAGAACGTCGGGCGTTGGTTGGTTTAACAGGGAGTGGAACGGCTGACGCAGTACCTATCTTTCTAGTCCTTGTGTAGAAGCTTATGCCCACGCCGACGTAGTGGCTGCGAAGGCGCTTCTTGCATGCTCGGCTAGGTGGAAGCCATGATTGGGAGAGCCGAGATGTAAGGAGCGTGTTCGTTGGTTGTGTCTGTTCTCCTGGTCACATGGTCCGCATGTTTGCTTTATAAGCCTACCCTGGGTAGGGAATTGTCAGTTGTCACTCACCAGTATCTGGTTAGGTACGGTCGACTCCCGCATCCTGAACCAGGATAATTTATTATTTATTATAGGGCTTTTGTTGAGATGTTAGATTAAGAGGTATGGGTGGGGGAAAAGTAGAGTAGGTATTTAATAGGTTTGTTTTATAGACATTTTACTTTTGGGAGTTAGAGGGGTGGTTAAGAGTACAAGTTTAAGTAATTAGGTTGAATAGGTTTACGTAGGTAGTGAAGGGGGAAAATTACGTAGGTTATAGATAAGAGAAGGATTTTGCGCCTGGTTTTTTTTCCCTGTTAAATAAACTTTAAATCCAACGTCATTCTTTGTGTTTTGTTTATAATTAGAATTGGTAAGCCGTTCAGGAGCCTCCTAGAACGTAGAGACAAAAGAATACTGCACAGGGAGAAGAGAACACAACGCAAAACACAGCAGTATAACATCTGACCTTTTGTCAACTATCTCTATAAGTCTACTGTACTGGGTGCCTTTTACAGGCTTTAGAGGGCGCCTATTACATTATCAATAACAATTTCACCATTAAGAAATACACAATAACATTTATTACATTACAAAAATATAATTATTCTTTTCAGTATTTCATTCAGTTAAGAAAATATATAAGAAATATAAAATACGTGAATGACAACTCACATCTCTCGGATCGAACCGGCAATCTCTCTCTCGCCTTTGAATTTTTACAACTGATAAAACTGTCAACAAAGTGACGTCAAACCGGAAGTAGTCTCTCGCACGAGGATACGGTCGTTGCAGGGACGTAGGAAAATTGCATTCCACCAGTGACAGAAGTTATCCTACTTCGTGTCACGGCTATGGCCATTTTGATGGTCTAGATGCAATTTTGTAGCCATATAGGCAGATTAAAGCCATTATGCTACAAGAAGTAGTTTCGTGGAACAGACTCACGAATATAGGTCACGTCACACGAACTATCATGTTGCCAAATCGAAATAGGTGATTTAGAACGTGTTCACATTTTGTTTTTGCACATTAAACAAACAGTCAGTAAGATCAGTGGTGATATGTGTTAATTCATGTGGCAAAAACGTATATCTTTACGGTTGTATGCTGTATCATGTACAACATGTACAATATGATTATCTCACTGTATACTGACCGAAATATACAAAAGGCTTGTACATTACATCCCCTTAATCATAAACCCCCTTTGGGCTGTGAAGCACAAAATGATTATTAGAATAAATAAGTGTGGAAGAGGGTATGTTGTCAGGGACAACCTTAGAGAGTCAATTGACATGCCCATAAACAAAAACGAAATCAAACTAAAACAGGATGCCCAAAAGTGGCTTAGTTATGTCAGGTGTGCTGTACAAAGATCACCAACGACCAGCTTTATCAAATTGTCTGTCAAAACCCAAAGAAAATCGCTCAACAATCCTGTCAGCGTTCAGGTGCAGATGAATGGGCACAACCAACACATGAGTAGTAATACTCACATTACTAGGTCAGTCAGTCCCCGACCACCACCACATTATGCAACCAGCCACCCAAGTGCAAAAACTGCTCCCGAGTTTCTTGCAGAGAAAACAGCAACATATGGTGTACAATCTGCAAGAAAGAGGGTCATTCATCCTTGGCGCCAAAATGTCCTAAACACATTAATAAAATGCCTACTCAGCAATCTGAATCTGAATCTGTCCAACCCAATGAGGTCTAAAAAAGCAAAGCAACTACTGATCACTGTACTGAGCAAACAATGGAATCTGCGAGCACTGAGCAAACAATGGAATCTGCGAGCACTGAGCAAACAATGGAATCTGTGAGCACTGAGCAAACAATGGAATCTGAGAGCACTGAGCGAACAATGGAATCTGTGATCACTAATCCGCTTGCTCACAGACACAAAGTCACTGCAAAACGCAAGGGGAAAAAGAGCCAAGCTCCCCACATCAAACCCTATGCCTTTTTAATACTCAAACTGAGGCACACAGCCAACAAGTCAGTCAAGGCAAAGAAAACAGCAGCTCATGGTAGACAAAAGGCTCAGAACACAAACAAAATTGTAGAGTCCATTGCCACGGCATTGATCCAAATTACAAGCGGGAAAATGAGTGCCAAAGCCAACTGCATCCTCAAACTGGCTTCCAAAATACTGAAATACAAAGGAACAAAGAAACAGTTCCAAAATAGTGTATGCCCTAAAACTCAATAAACGCTTATCTAAATGATCATGGACTTGCTTTTATTACAGTGGAACGCAAATGGCCTTTAGAGCAACGCCAATGAACTGAACTAAAAAAATAGGTGATAAAGCCGCATGTCATTCTAATACAGGAGACTTTACTCAGCGAAAAAGCCAAATTCACACTACCTTGGTACACACAATATAGAAAAGACAGAAAAAGACTTATGCCTAGCAACAAGGGAGTAGGGACAAGGGACTTATCAACCTTGTTCACGACAGCTGTACCGCCAAAAATATTAAATCAAACATAGGAAACCTTGAAACCCAAGTAATCTTGCTAAAACTGGCAAATGGAACCAGCTCAAATGGGATAATCCATGGTGACTTTAATGCCCACAGTCCTTTAGAGGAAGACAGGAATGATTCATGCAAATATGGCAAAAAACAGAGAAATGGGCTGAAGACGACAATCTCATAACTGAACAACAGCAGAGTCAACATTATGACCATGTCCAAAACATGTGGAGTTCAACTGACCTCACAATTGCAACCAACAACCTCGCCACACATTGCCGATGGCAAGTCCACAATGACACTTTGGAAGCGATAACCTTCCAATTATCACGGAACTGTTCTGGGTGAACAATACCTTCAAAATGACGTGCTGGTTTTCTTGGGGAATTAGTCAGCAAAGAGCCAGAGTCACAGGAGACTAATCACAATTTTATTTTCAAGAACAATTAACAATTTACAATATCTTAGAATATAACTTAGGGTGCCACAGAGAGTCGGTACACACTCTGGGCTGTGGGAGAGAGGTCTGCTTGGTAAGAGAGTCAAACCCCTTCTCTGCCTAAAACCTGCCTACAGTATGTATTTAACAAAAATTTAAACAATAAAATGGAATGTGATTGGATGATACACGATTGGTTGTGTCCTAAGCTAAATGGATGGCTAGACAGAGGGGAATACTAAATCCTGTTTATCCTGTTGGACTGGCACTAATCTTGTTGACATATTTACTGGATGCTTTGAAAGAAATTAGGGTGTCACTATAGATGAGCTTGTATGGGGGCTAATCCTTAATGCACTATAGACGAGCTTGTATGGGGGCTAATCCTTAATGAGTCTTAATTGAAGTAATGTTATTCTAATATACCCCGGTAAGTGATGACAGATATACTTAAATAAATATCCTTTGTCTGGGAGATGGGATCTTGATACCTTTGGCTAGCATTTATCTAAAAGCTTCAAATCAATTAAACTATGTAGACGTAACTCTTGTCTTATTGAATAGTATGTCTAGAAGACGCGCTCCCATTACCTTAGGCTAGCAACCATCTAAAAAGCTTTAACTGAAACTACTGATATTTTATATATGCATTTTACCTAATGATAATTATTACTTGCTAAACTATAATTATATGAAAGGATGTATAAATATTACGCCATGATAACTCATAAAAGCACTTGATGTAGATCTAATTATTATAAGATAACTTAGTATAAATGTTATCCCATGATAACTTCCCCTCCGTCTGAAAAAGTTTGGACCCCAAACGTGTAAAAATAAAAATAATTAAGGCTTAGATGGACAATGTATAAAGTTAAACTGGTAGTAGTGAATAATAATTATTATAGAGTCTCTTTGATATAAGGAAACATAATATAAAAATGCTGTCATAAGGGGTTCTGGATGTGGAGCTGGCTTGTCTTGGCACTCTGT